AAATGAAATCATGAATGAACAAGCATGTGGTCACTGACACACCCATGGTCACACAAACATGGGGTCTCATAGTCACAAGACCCGAGTCTCACTGCCAGTCTCACTGGATCCCGTGTTTGCACAGACATGCTCTACTGGAGCTTGCACAAAAGCCTAGAGCAAAGATGAGCAGGGCTCCACAAGGATGCGCTCAGTGACCAGCCCAACTTCACAGACACAGTGCCTTTCACACTTGTCCCAAAAGCACAGGTGACTTACCCCTGGGCATGGTCAGTGTTGGGCCTGGGGCCTAAAAAAGGTCTTTTTTAATCAGAGGAAGATACAGATTAATAATGAATATATGATAATGACCTCAGTCTGGATTGCATTTGTCTTTGTACCAGCATAGCTATAAAATGTACTCTTTAATGTTTTGAGGAAGGGGCCCAAAAAGTCGAAAGTACCCGAGCCCCACAAATGTCCTAAGGTACCCCTGCACAAGAGTATGCTCCCTCCATCTCCAGTACCAAGGATCCCAGATGCCAGTATCACAAACAGGCCTGTCCAGCAGGGTCTGCCACCCAGGCAGGCCCCCTGCATTGCTGCCACCCCGACCCGAACCCCAACCCAAATAAAGCCACAAAGCCCAGTGGAGGTGTTGACCGTGTGGGCAGGGCCGCTTCCGGCCCAGCCCCACCTCCTAACAAGGCACTTTGTTAGGGATGCGAGGTGGCTCTGCTGCCTGGCCCAGCCCTCTGGCCAGGCCTGCCCCTCAGCCCGCCCCCAGACTGGGTGGGGTGACCCCCTGACAAAAGCTCAGAGTTTCCAGCAGCAGCTTCCTCCCAGAGTCTGGTGCCGCTGGGGCGAGTTGAGGAACAGAATCTTGCTGAGCCCTGCCTAGGCCCTCACTCTGGGGTCAGGAAATGTGGAGGATGAGGCCCTTCAGCCCTGAGGTCAGCAGGGACAAGTGGGCAGACTGGCGGGTATCCTGGAGGGTTGGGCTGACCTGGCGTTGGTCGCTGAGCATCTCTTCCTCCAGTGGCTGGCCAGGATTCCTAGGGGACGAGACAGGAAAGGATCCTCCATCAGTCAGGTCAGCCTGGGAGTTGAGGGCCTGGCTCTCAGCAGCTCTTCTCAAAACAGAAGTCATAGCTTCTGTCGCCCCCCCCCCACCCCACCCCTGCAACACCCCGGGGAAGGGGATTGTTTAGCTTAGGCACACCCTACACACACGAAGCCTGACAAAGTCTGTGGGAGACAAGAGGGCAGAGGCCCCATCCTAGAGGCAACTCAGATATGCACCCCCTCCGTGCCTTTCCTTTGCCCTCTGACCTCCCCAGAGCCCTGAGCCAAGGTCAGTGTTTACCTAAAGCTGGAGCTGGGGTGGATTAATGAGCAAGGGGCTTGGCGGGCCTTTTCTGAGTAGGGAGTCAGAGAGTTCAGAACCCGCTCTCAGCTTTGCCTCCCCTGGCCAGGTTTCCCTAGACTCATCCTCTGCCATGGCAGTCCATCTGCTTCCCACCTATGCCCTCTTCCTGACCTTGCTCGGCACGGCCCAAGGCTCCAGGAGCTCTGTGGTACCCGACCAGCCCTTCACCACCATCTGGAACGCAAACACCCAGTGGTGCCTGGAGAAATATGGCGTGGATGTGGATGTCAGTGTCTTCGATGTGGTGGCCAACCCAGGGCAGACCTTCCGTGGCCCCGACATGACCATTTTCTATAGCTACCAGCTGGGCACCTACCCATATTACACATCTGCTGGGGAGCCTGTGTTTGGTGGCCTGCCCCAGAATGCCAGCCTGGATACCCACCTGGTCCACTCATTCCAGGACATTCAGGCTGCCATACCTGAGTCTGACTTCTCAGGACTGGCGGTCATCGACTGGGAGGCATGGCGCCCACGCTGGGCCTTCAACTGGGACAGCAAGGACATTTACCGGCAGCGCTCACGGGCACTGGTACGGGGGCAGCATCCGGACTGGCCAGCTACTCGGGTGGAGGCAGCAGCTCAGGACCAGTTCCAGAAAGCCGCTCAGGCCTGGATGGCAGGCACCCTCAAGCTGGGCCAAGCACTGAGGCCTCGTGGCCTCTGGGGCTTCTATGGCTTCCCTGACTGCTATAACTATGATTTTCTAAGCCCCAACTATACAGGCGAGTGCCCACCAGGTATTGGTGCCCAGAATGACCAACTGGGATGGCTATGGCGCCAGAGCCGTGCCCTCTACCCCAGCATCTACTTGCCCACAGAGCTGGAGGGCACAAGGAAGGGACAGATGTATGTGCGGCACCGTGTAGGTGAGGCATTCCGTGTGGCTGAGGATGTTGGGGACCCCTATCTGCCAGTGCTGCCCTATGCTCAGATCTTCTATGACAACACGAACCGCGTTCTGCCCCTGGTGAGTCTCCTATGACCCCACCCACCTTGTAACCTATCTTGTCGGACATTAGGTCTAATAAGTAAGGCCCACAGCCTTGGGGCACTTTTATCCATTATTTTCCATTCCTTGAGCTCCTACTGTGTGCCAAGTTCTGTGCTCGGTAGAGGCGATTCAGCATTCATCACACAAAGATGTAGTACCTGCTGTGTGGCACTCACAGGCCAGAGGGAGGACAGGCTTGCCTCTTGCCACCAGGGCCAGAGCAGCCCCAGGCGGTGGTTATGAGTTATTTGTCCCATCCAGCGGTGTTATGGCAATCTGCTGAGGAGAGGGAGGAAGGCCCCTCAGAGCCATATTGTCCCTTTCCCCAGGACGAACTGGAGCACAGCCTAGGGGAAAGTGCAGCCCAGGGGGCAGCAGGAGTGGTGCTCTGGGTAAGCTGGGAGAACACAAGAACCAAGGTGAGCTCAGGCCCAGGATGGGGGTGAAGGCTGCGGGCAGGGGTGGGGCTGCCAGGCTGACTGGGAGGGGAGACCCTGGCTCACCCTTTCTATCCCTGCAGTCCTGGTTGGCCAGCAGGTAAAAGAGTGAGTCAACGCCCTAGATTGGCCCATGCGTGATCATGGTGTCCCTTACGTTCCTCCCCCCGCCTCAGGAATCATGCCAGGCCATCAAGGAGTATGTGGACACCACCCTGGGGCCCTTCATCCTCAACGTGACCAGTGGGGTTCTTCTGTGCAGTCAAGCCCTATGCTCAGGCCATGGTCGCTGTGTCAGGCGCCCTAGCTACCCTGAGGCCCTCCTCTTCCTCAACCCCACCAGTTTCTCCATCCAGCTCCCTCCTGGTGGCAGGCCCTTGACCCTACAAGGTGCCCTCTCCCGTGAGGATCAGATGAGGATGGCTGTGGAGTTTCAATGTCGCTGCTATCGTGGCTGGAAGGGAGTGCGGTGTGAGCAGCAGGGCATGCGGTAATTGGCCACACACCGGGATACACACATTGAGTACCTTGTTTACCTTAAAAATAAAATCGTTATTTTGCCAGCAAAAGTGGGTTTATTTGGGAACAGCAGAGAATTGCAATTTGAGACAAGATGCAGCATGCTGTTGCAAAACCATAGCCAAGTCCTGAGAACAAAGAAGAGGAATGCTGTTTTATAAAGGGGGGAGTGGGAAGGCCTGTTATAAACAGAACTCATTGGAGTGAAGTAGGAGTTTGAGGGTGGTGGCTTTTCATTGTTACGAGGCTCTCATTGGCTGGGCTGCAATCAGAAAAATCTTTCCTCCCGCAGGGGTAGTAAAGTAGGCTTCTTCTCCTTGGGTCTGTAAAGGGCTTCAAGAAATGGTTATGTCTGAATTCCCCCTTCTTGCCTTTGGACTCCATTTAAAATGAGGTCTCTTTTCTTCGGTTTCACAACCTAATGAATTCCGAGCCTGGCCACAGCTTTCTCAAGTACAAGCAGTAAAACATGATCATGATCACAAGTAAAACAAGTCATGATCACAGTCAGGAGTACTTTCAGCCACCATCAAGAGCATATGCCTGCACCTGTGCAAATGCTTAACAGACCAGGATAGTTACCTAAGGGGCTAGAGCCTCAGCACTCACCCAGCAGGGTCATAAACATCTCCAGAGACACCGAGCCAGTCTTTAAACAGTAGCAATCACAAGAATTGACGTTCACTGAGCACCTACTCTTCCCCAAATCCTGTGCTAAGCATTTTAAGTAGACTAGCTCATTCAGTCCTAACACGACGTTCTGAGGCAACAGGCACACAACTGAGAGGGCAAGCACTTTGCCCAAGGCTGCACAGCCAGAAAATAGAGAAGCTGAGATCAAACCCAGGCTGTCTAGCCATCGAGGTAAAGCCCTTAGGCTCCTACTGTGTGTTGACAGTAACCAGCCCTGCAACCTGAATCTGCTCTGAGGGCCGAGCCTCGCAAATAAAGCTCTTGCTTCCAGAGCTAGTGAGTGGCTAAGTCGTGCCGGCGCTGGGATCCAGAGGGCACAGAAGACGCTCGTCTCTCTCACTCCGACCTGATGGCTGTCGAGGGCGGCCCCTTCCGAGCATGCGGTCCAAATTTCAGGAGGAAGCTCTCCCTGACCGTTTCCACGCCGGACCCTTTCCTCCCGGAGGCCAATGGGAACGGAGACCTGCCCGAGCCTAGGGCGGGGCGGGAGGAGGCGAGGCGGAAGCAGAGCGAGGTGGAGGGGGCCTGCACGCGGCCAAGGATCCGGCGGGATGCGCCCCGGCAAGACCCGGCCGAGCGCAATGCGGGACGCCTCGGCAGCGGCCTGGAGCGGGGACGCCGGCTCAGGGCGGGGCGCGGCGAGGAGGGGGCGGACCTGCGCTGGGTCCCAGCCCCCGGGCTCGAAGAGGGCGGGGGGGGGGCAGGAGGCGGAGCCGCGGCCCAGGCCGGGTGTGCGTGGGCTCAGCGGCAGGGCGCCGGCGCCGGGGGCGGGGCCTAGGGGGGTCGCGGATCAGGCGGGGCGGCGCGGGCCGCGACGGCTGCAGTGCGTCCGCCGCACCGCTAGGGGCAGCGCGGGAGGCCGGCCGGGTGCACGCCACAGAGCGGGAACAGGCCGGAGCCGAGCGAGGACGCGGAGCATCCCGGACCTTGGCTTCAGCATGTCAGTACCTCCCCGTCCCCCCTCGGAGCGTGTTCGTTCTCCCTGCCCCCCCGCCTCCCCACGCGTGCGGCCCTCGAGGGGCTGTGTCGTCCCGCACGCCCTCCCTGCGTCTGTCGTTCCCTCCCAGAGCATGCCGAGCCACACCCACCCAGCTAAGCTCCCGAAGTACCCGCCCCAAGACTCAACGGTTTGTCACCCACTAGGAGGGAGGGGGAAACCGAGGTACAGGAGAGCCTTCCTGCCTCTCTCTGAGGACACAGGAGCCCCCCTCACAATGGGTGGGGTCGGCACCGAAAGGGTTAAGCCCGCGGGGAAGTCTGGGGCTCCAAGCCTGGGGGCGGATCCTGGGGCTTCCTCCCTCTGGGTCCAGGGCTGAGGCTGCTGCGGAGGTGGCTGGTGCAGGTGAGGGGCGTTCGGCCCTCTGAGTGTGTGTAGTGGGGGAGGGGAGGAGACGCCTCCCTGTGCATGCCTACCTGTGCCGTGTGGAATTGGCCTCAAGGTTAGGGGACTCTGGGGAGGTGGCGAAGGGGAGCCAAGACGTCCTCTGGAGCAGGTGAGTAGAAGGGTGAGGCCCAGTGGACCCCCCCACCGCCATAAACACTACCCCCAGCATGGACCCTCCTGGCAGCAGGGCCTGGGGTAGGAAGGGCAAACAATGGGAGTTAGGCGCAGGAGGCCTGAGCCCCCAACCTGGTGGCCGTTGGACACCCTTGTGGATTTAGGAAGGAAGCTGTGGTCCTTATCTAGGGTGACTATGAAACTCAGGCCAATGGGGAACCAAGCCTGCAAGAGCCACATTGCTGTGGGACCTTGAGCTAGGCCCCTTGCCATTGCTGCTGGAGCCCCATCTGAGGGGATACTTGGGTCTGTGCCCAAGCAAAGTGTCCCAAGCTGCGCAGTGTTGGGGAGGGGGCATGGGCTCTGTGCTCCTGGCAGGAAAGCCGGTTCAGGAAGGGGAAAAACCGATCCTAATGGGTGGGTGAGTGGTGCCTGAGGATCAGTCAGGTGGCAGGCAGGCATGGTCCAAGTGGTCAGAAAGGCTGGGACCTAGAATGCAGGGAAAAGGAAGGGACAGGGAGCTGCTCTTCTTCCAAAGAGAATCTTGGGTAGGTTTAAGTAGAGGGTCATGGCACCTAGCTTGCGTGTTTTGTCTGATGGCCAGCCAGCCGAGACAGTATAAGCTAAATCCACTGTCCTGTGGAGGACAAAGTTGTAGCCACAGCAGGCTGGGGCCAGGACCTTTGGGTTCTTCCCCAGCCTTTAGCCTTCGGCCTCCCTCCTATATAGGGCAGGACACCCTATTTTCTCTGCTGTCCACCTGATTCAGGTATAGGGGATGGTCTCCAGGTCACCTGTGCCATCAGGTGAGTATGGGGACAAGGTGTAGCTTACCAGTTCCAGGTCGCATGGCTCACCTAGCACTTGGTCAGTCCCTCCCTGCCCCAGTCCTGTCTGTCCTCCGTCTTGGCACAGCCTAGCATGGCTGTTGTCCACAGGAAGAGCACCTTTGGGCTCTGAGGAGATCCCAGTGTCTGGAGCCTGTACCCTTAATCTCCAGCCTGCCAGTGAGACACCTGCAACCCAGCAGGAGAGGACCTTGGCTCCTAGCCTGACTCAGCTGAGCCTGGTCTGGACCTTACATGTAGGTGAGAGCTTATTCTGAGCCCTGGCCCACCAAAGCTGGCCCCTACCCTAGACCCTACACACCAGGTAGAGCTGATCTTGAGTACCAGCCCAGCCGAGCTGACTCTGGATCCTGCACACCAGCCAGAACTGACCCTGAGCCCCAGGGTAGCTGAGCTGACCCCGGGTTCTGCATGCCATCCAGAGATGACCCTCAGTCCTGGCTCAACCGAGCTGACCCTGGAGCCCGCACACCAGCCAGAGGAGACCCCCGTCCCCAGCCTGGCTGAGCTGACCCTGGAGCCTGTGCACTGCCGACCTGAGCTCCTGGATGCCTGTGCCGACCTCATCAATGAGCAGTGGCCCCGCAGCCGTGCCTCCCGCCTGCACTCCTTGGGCCAGTCCTCAGATGCCTTCCCCCTCTGCCTGATGCTGCTGAGCCCCCGCCCCACACCCGAGGCAGCCCCCATTGTGGTGGGTCATGCCCGCTTGTCACGGGTGCTGGACCGGCCCCAGAGCCTCCTAGTGGAGACAGTGGTGGTGGCCCGGGCTCTGAGGGGCCGCGGCTTTGGTCGCCGCCTTATGGAAGGCCTGGAGGATTTTGCTCAGGCCCGGGGCTTCCGCCGGCTGCACCTCACCACCCACGACCAGCTGCAGTTCTATGCCCACCTGGGCTATCAGCTGGGTGAGCCTGTGCAGGGCCTAGTCTTCACTAGCCGACGGCTCTCTGCCACCCTGCTCAGGGCCTTTCCCAGAGCCCCCTCTCCCCGGCCACCCTACAAGGCTCCTAGTGTAACTGCCCAAACTGCCCCAAGAGCCCACAAGGGGCCATCGTTGCCACCACCCCCTCCCCTGCCTGAGCCCTTGACCTCCTCTCTCACATCTCCTGCTGGGCTCCCTCCACAAAGCCTGCTGGAGACGCAGTACCAGGATCTGAGAGGATGCCCCATATTCTGGATGGAAAAGGACATCTGAGGGCTACCCAGGGCAGGGCACTGTCCTTCAGGGTCGATGGACTGCTTAGGACACTACCAGCCTCAGCCCATGGGCCATACCTCAGGCTCTAGCCCCTGGGGACAGCTTTAGCCTGGCCACACTTCCTGAGTGCCAGTGGGGCTGGGAGATTGATTGCTCCATAGCTGTGGCTCAGAGCTGACAATGTGGTGGAATAAAGGCTTCTGTTGGGTGTGGCTGTGACAGTTTATTTGTTGACCCAGCCTCATCTTAGATCCCCTATCTCTGAGAGATCTGCTAGATCCACCTTGGTCCTGGGGCCATGGATAAAGGGACATCTTTGCCCTTTGCCTCTCTTACTCTCCCAGGCCCAGGTGACAAGGTGTTTGTTCCCTTCCACATTCACTCATCACCATTCACTGAGTGCCTACTGTATGTTAGGCCCTAGGCTGGACCAAGGCAATGGGCAACTAGGTAGACAGGCGTGCAGTGGCAGGATCTATGTTGGACAGTGGAGTGCGAGTGCCCTCAGTCCATTTGGAGATCAGGGGGAGATGGTGTCACAGCAGAGACCTGAGCACTAAGGAGGAGTTAAACCAGGCAAGGGGGAGGGTGTTAAGTGTTCTTGGGGCAGAGAATAAAGTGGATAGAGGACAGAAGGGGCCTGGTGAGTGCTGTGAATGGGCAATGCACCAGAGGGTGCAGTGGTGCCATGACAGACGGGAAGCATGGGAGGGGAGCTGCCCAGGCCGATATATGGCATAACTGGTCTGAGAGGGCTGGAGGACCACCTGGGGACCATGCTTTCCCTGCCCCCCCCCCCATCCTTGGGAGTAGTTGGGGGAATGTTCCTGACTTTCCCTGCTATGTGCAAGGTGCAGCCATGGCCATGGCCTCTAAGCTTACAGCCCCTCTCTCCTGCAGGTTTCCATCCCTGGGGCATGATCATGCGGCTGGGCCTGGCCCTGGTGCTTGGAGTGGCCCTGTGCCTGGGGTTTGACCAGCTCCCCCTGTGGGCTCCTGAACGCCCCTTCTCTGTGCTGTGGAACATACCCTCAGCACACTGTAAGACCCGCTTTGGTGTGCACCTGCCACTAGAGGCCCTGGGCATCACAGCCAACCGTGGCCAGCGTTTCCGTGGCCAGAACATCACCATCTTCTACAAGAACCAGCTCGGCCTCTATCCCTACCTTGGACCCAGGGGCATAACTCACAATGGGGGCATCCCCCAGGTTGTTCCTCTTGACCGCCACCTGGCCCGGGCTGCCTATCAGATCCATCAAAGCCTAGGTCGTGGCTTCACTGGCTTGGCAGTGCTAGACTGGGAGGAATGGAGCCCACTTTGGGCTGGGAACTGGGGCCACCGCCGAGCCTATCAGGCAGCCTCATGGGCTTGGGCACAACGGGTATTCCCCCACCTGGACCCCCAGGAGCAGTTCCACAAGGCCCGTGCTGGCTTTGAACGGGCAGCCCGTGCCCTGATGGAGGACACACTGAGGCTGGGCCAAGCACTGCAGCCCCATGGGTTCTGGGGCTTCTATCGCTTCCCGGCCTGTAGCAATGGCTGGCATGGTACTGCTTCCAATTATACAGGCCACTGCCACCCAGCTGCTCTTGCCCGCAACACCCAACTTCATTGGCTCTGGGCTGCCTCCAGCGCCCTCTTCCCTAGCATCTACCTCCCACCCAGGCTGCCACCTACTCACCACCAGGCATTTGTCCGATACCGCCTGGAGGAGGCCTTCCGTGTGGCTTTCATTGGGCACCCACATCCCCTGCCTGTCCTAGCCTATGCCCGCCTCACATACCGGAGCACTGGGAGGTTCCTGTCCCAGGTGAGTGAAAGTTGAGATCTAGAGGTCTGAGTGGGGAAGGATGGCCCTGTCCTAGGAAGGTCTGAAGAGAATACCCTTGCCCAGGGGAGTCTGATGGGGAGGCCCTATCCTATCCTGGATCATCTAAAATGGAAATATGCCTCTGCCTTGGAAAATCTTGAGGGGGAAGGCGAAGCCCAGCCTTTGGAGCACTGGTCTGAGGGGAGACATTCTCTGAGTGGAGGACCTGAGAAGCCACTCAGAGGCTAAGTGCCAAGAAACCTCACTCTAAAGGTGGAATCAGATCATAACAACAAACCAGAAAATTTCCTGGGAAGGTAGAGGTAGGCCCAGATGGATCTGGCCAGCTCAGTCCTGGCTTAGCAGCTCTTTGCCTCCAGGATGACCTTGTGCAGACCATTGGTGTGAGTGCAGCACTAGGGGCAGCCGGCGTGGTGCTCTGGGGGGACCTGAGCTTCTCCAGCTCTGAGGTGATCATTGCCCTCCAACCTGCCATGCAACCCATGCTGGAGTCCCAGGGTTGGGGAAAGACCATGTCAGACATGCCATGGAGCAGGAGCATTGATACATCCTTCTCCTCTCCTCAGGAGAAGTGCTGGCATCTCCGTGACTACCTAGTGGACACCCTGGGCCCCTATGTAATCAACGTGACCAGGGCAGCCATAGCCTGCAGTCACCAGCAGTGCCATGGCCATGGGCGCTGTGCCTGGCAAGATGGAGGACAGCTGGAAGCCTTTCTGCACCTGCAGCCAGATGGCAGCCCTGGAGCCTGGGAGTCCTTTAGTTGCCGATGTTATCCGGGCTGGGCTGGCCCTACCTGCCAGGAGCCCAGGCCTGCAGCTAGGCCTGAATAAGCAGCATAAAGCCAGAAGTTACCTGCCTCTGAGTCTCTTGTCCCTGCTGCCATTTTTCCAGTCCTGGAGGGAGGACTCTGTCCCACTATTGTCCTATTCAGTTTATGGTCAGTCTTCCCATACACCTTCCCAGCTTCCCATGGGATCCCTGGGAAGTGGAAGAGGCCAGAAAAAGATGTTTACACCATTTTATATTATTATTTTTTTGTTACACCATTTTAAAACCAAAAGTCGTCTGAGATCACTTGAACCCTTCTGATAAGGAAACAGCCCCAGGGAGAGTGAGCGTTCCAGATGGTTAGGGTTGCCAGCCGAGAGTTCTGTTCCAACTCCTCACTGGGTCCATGGAGAGGTCACAGGAGACCCGTCCAGGGACAGGTGGGCTCCAAGATTTTGGCTCAGGTCTGTAAGTGCTAAGCTGTTTTCTGTCCTCTGCTTCATCATAAAGTCACTTTTTCTTCCACTGCCTAAGGTTTGACTGTTCACACAGTTCTACCAAGCTCCACGTTCTTCCTGTCGTGAATGTCCAGCCTCAAGTACCGAGAAATAGCCTGCCTGCCGTGGTAGGCTGCTCCAAGGCGGCTGCTTCAGAGTTAACGACCGTGCATGGATGTACATTGGCGCGGGAGGAGGGAGTGGGTGTACGCAGGGTATTGTGGGTGCATAGTTCAGCTAGAGCGTCGTGGGCTTTTGGGTCTCAGGAGTAAACTACAATTCCCGGGGTGCTCTGCGCCCGGCGGGCCGGCAGTCATCTGCGCGCGCAGCCCCCTGGGACTAGTAGTTTCGGCCGCGTGGCTGTGGATCTGAACCCAGTGGCCAAGAACTCGCCTTCCCGGCCACCCGTTTGGCAGGGCGGGGCGCTCCGACCCTTTTGGCAGGGCGGGGCGCCTCGTGAAGATGGTGTCGCATGTGGCGTGTGGCTCCCGTCGTCTGCCCAAGTCTCAGCTTAGCCCACCGGCCCGCGTCTGGCCGATCTGGAGCCCTCGCCCGCCGGGTCCCTGACCCCGCGCCCTCCGCGCGCCCGCGCTCCTGATTCCCGGCATGCCCCGCGCTCGTAAGGGTAGTGCGCCCCGCAAGGGCGGCCAGCGCCGCGGAGCGGGTAAGTGGAGAGCAGCTAATGAGCCACGAGTGGGGATCCTGCGTGGCTTACCCGTCGGTGTCCCCGAGGGTCTTGGGCGAAGACTCCTGCCCCGACCAACCTGGCGCTGCGTCCCCAATTCCCCCGCGGCCGACACGTGCCCCAGGAGGCAGCGGCCACGTGGGTGTCCAACCTGAGCGTGCTGCTTGCTGCTCGGGAGCTCGCGTTACTGGCCCTAAAAGCGGTGGGCGCCTCCTCGCCACAGTATCCCCATTGCCGCTCCATCCAGGTTGCCTCCTGTGGTGGACAAACCGCCCGACAGAGCAGGAAGCCTGCCCCCTCGCCACTCCCTGGTTCTTTCCTGGACTGGACTAGGAAATTGGTGGGAGGCCTAGCCTGTCTGGGGGTACCGAGGTGGGGGGGGGCAGCGATAGGGAAGTTTCAGGATTCGGGGTGGGCCTGGCACGAGAGGGCTGGGGAATGCCCTGCAGCCTGAGGCAGTCCTGAGACTTATCAGTTTTGAACAGGAGTGTGTCTTGGTGCAGTAAACACGTACGTTTACTGTGCAGGAATATTGTGCCTTCTAGGCAGAGTTCAGACTTGGCCACAACCCTAATGGGACTTGAGTGTGGGGATGGATGTCTTAAGAGGGTAGGGACATTCCAGAAGGACTGGTGCTGGAAGACAAGTTCACTAAATGGTGTCAGCCCCAGATAGGAACCAAGGAATCCTCGAGGAGCTTCTGGGTGAATCCTGAGAAGGTGAAGAGTGCACTATGCAGAGGGAAAAAGTTGTGCAAAGGTCTGGCATCTGGAGGGAGCAAATGAGAGGCTGGGGCTGCTTTGTCTGGTTAGGGTAGTAAGAGATGAACAGAGGCCTGTATGCATGCTGGACTTTGTCCAGCAGGCACGTGGAGTATGTAGTTCCTGAGAAGTGGGACCAGCCTAGTGACCAGAACCCATCTGGGGCTCTGCTGCAGCAGCTGCCCTTGCCAAAGTCAGCCCCTGGCCCTGGGCAGCACCCACACGGAGGAGTATACCAGCTTTGCTGACCCTGACATTCTCCCGTGTTTACCTATTTTCAAGGACTCGTGGTCAGGGGCCACTCCACTTTCTGCATTTCTCAGGGTCAGCATTCACCCAGGGTGTGTCCATTCACCCAGGGCTAAAGGCCTGGGATGGTCAGAGGGAGCTCAGAAGAGAGTATCTTTGGGCAGCCCCGGTGGTGCAGCGGTTTAGCGCTGCCTGCAGCCTGGGGTGTGATCCTGGAGATCGGGCTCCCTGCATGGAGCCTGCTTCTCCCTCTGCCCCCCTCCTCTCTTCAATAAATTTTAAAAAAAAATCTTAAAAAAAAAAAAAGAAGAAGAAGAGAGTATGTTTGAAGCACCCCCACCCCAATCCACTAGGAGCTGGTCTCCAAGGCAGATTGATGATGTTGGCCCACAGAAGAGCCATAACTAGTTGTTTATTTAGTTATTGTCTTCGATTGTTATGCCAAAAGAGGTCCTTTAGCATCTCTGTTTTGTAGGTGAAGAAATTGAGGGAGTAAAGGCTAGGCACTTAACTTAGTTACACACCTTTTAAAATATGGAGCTGGAATTTGAATCCTGTATCTGTCTATATGGTTCTATACATACAGATTATATAATTAAGCTCCTGACCTTTGCCCTGGCCAGTTTTAGGCATAATCTGGGCTAATGGCTGAGCTCCTCTGGGATTTGCCTAGATATGTTCCCACTCCAGGCTCAGCCACAGGCCTAGGTGGGGCCTATGCAGCACCTTCTTCCTCTACCAGGCTCAGTCTCCTTAAATCTGGCTGTAGGCTCAGGGAGGGGAGGCTCTACTCACTAAGCCTGCCAGGTTTTCGTAGGCTGGGCCTAGTGCCTGATGTTCTCCAGCTGATGGACCTCATTCCCTTTCTCCTCCTTCCTGGTTCAGTGGCTCCTGCCTCAGCCCCTGTGCCTCCCACCTCAGTCTCTGTTTTCTCATCTCTGAGAGGGGCAAGATTCTATTCTTGTGGGGTCATGAAGTTGGGTGAGGCACCCCCTGCCATCGCTCATCAACGGAGGCAAGCCAATGCTACCACAGTGTGTTCAACCTTCCCCAGGTGCCCGGAGCAGTACCCAAGCGGACTCAGGTTCCAGTGAGGATGAGGCCGTCAGTGAGGCCCGTAGCACCACCAGTGAATGCCCCAGCCTTCTTAGCACCACAGCAGAGGACAGCCTCGGTGAGAGTGGGCGGGAGTTTGGCAGGGACTTTGTGGGGATTCCCTGGGGTATGGCAAGACGCAGGGCTGACCAGCTGGCCTTGCAGGGGGGGATGCCGTGGATGAGCAGGGCCAGCAGGAGGACCTTGAGGAGAAGTTGAAGGAGTATGTGGACTGCCTCACAGACAAGAGGTACCCCTGACTGCCAGCCAGCCCTTCACCCTTGTCCCTGCTCAGCTTGTGCCAAGTGTGACCCGGTAGGGCTGGCCCACAGCATCCCCTTTTTTCATCCCCCAGTGCCAAGACCCGGCAGGGTGCTCTTGAGAGCCTTCGCCTGGCCCTGGCATCCCGCTTACTCCCCGACTTCTTGCTGGAGCGCCGCCTCACGCTGGCCGATGCCTTGGAAAAGTGCCTCAAGAAAGGTTGGGCCCTGGGGGCTCATGGGAGACTGGAACTGGCTGGGTCCTGACTCTTGCTGCCTGGGCTCACTGGAAAGCATTCCTGCAGGGAAGGGCGAGGAACAGGCACTGGCCGCTGCCGTGCTAGGCCTGCTCTGTGTGCAGCTGGGCCCGGGTCCCAAGGGCGAGGAGCTCTTTCACAGCCTGCAGCCCCTCCTGGTCTCTGTGCTCAGTGATGGCACAGCTAGCCCTGCCGCCCGGCTCCATGTGAGTGTTTCCTGCCCTGTGACACCCTTCGCTCCCCTAATCCCCAAGCAGAGAGGTGGATTCCACCTGCCTAGAGGCTCCCTTGCTCTAAGGGTAAGCCCTGTGGCCGGGAAGCCAGGCTCACTCTCTGACCACGGCACGGCTTTGCCCCCCTTCCAACAGTGCGCTTCTGCTCTTGGCTTGGGGTGCTATGTGGCTGCTGCCGATGTCCAGGTAAGTAAGTGGCCTTTGGGCACAGGTAAGAGAGCATCTAGGCCCCAGCTCTGCCCCTGAGCCATTCCCACTGGCTCCCTGTGTCCTTAGGACCTGGTGTCTTGCCTCAACTGCTTGGAAGGTGTTTTCAGCCGGTCGTGTGGTACGGGTGGCTCCACAGCCCCTGTGGTCCCCACCAGCCTGCACGGCCTGCTCTGTGCTGCCCTGCAAGCCTGGGCATTGCTCCTCACCGTCTGCCCCAGCACCCACATCAGCCACATCCTGGACAGGTAAGAGCGACTGCTCTCTGCGAGTGGGAGGGGAAAGGTAAAGAGGCCCCTAACCCAGACATAGCTCAGCCTGCCCCTTCCCCAGGCAGCTGCCCCGGCTGCCCCAGCTCTTGTCCAGTGAAAGCGTGAACCTGCGAATCGCTGCCGGCGAGACCATCGCACTGCTCTTTGAGCTTGCCCGGGACCTTGAGGTGTGAGGGGGGGCGGGGGGAAGGGAAGGGAGGGGGCCTTCCGACACCACCTGTCCAACCTAGGCTGGACGCAGGGGACACCACAGAAGATAGGGCAGCCTCAGGTCCTTATGGAGGGGAGGTAGCCCTAATACAGGCTCAGAGGCCGGGTGCCATGGTAGGGGCTCTGAGCAGAGGTGTCTGGCTCAGGTAGGGGCCAAGAAGGGATTCCTGGGGGCCAGGTGGAAGAGGTAACCATTTCTGTGTAAGAAAGGATTTGGGCAAACCCATGTTGAGACCCTGCAGAGCCTGGGCCTCTGCTCATACACCCTCTGTTGCTCCCACTGCAGGAGGATTTTATTTATGAGGACATGGAGGCCCTCTGTGGCACCCTGCGGACCCTGGCCACTGACAGCAACAAATACCGTGCCAAGGCCGACCGCCGGCGGCAGCGCTCTACCTTCCGCGCCGTGCTGCACTTCGTTGAGGTACGCGTGAGAGCCTGTGTCCTGGTGAGAGTGCTCCCTGGGCACAGCCGCCAAGCCCTGTCCTGTGGGTCCCTCCACACTGCAGGGTGGTGAGTGTGAGGAAGAGTCAGTACGCTTCGGTCTCGAGGTGCTCTATGTAGACAGCTGGGCTCGGCGCCGCATCTACGCCGCCTTCAAGGACGTGCTGGGATCAGGCTTGCACCACCACCTCCAGGTGGGAAGGCAGGCGGGGAGGAGGGGGGGCGGTACCTGGCTTGGCTATTTGGGACCAGTCTCAGCTCACTGCCCATTTCATCCTCAGAACAATGAGCTACTCCGTGACATCTTTGGCCTGGGCCCTGTGCTGGTGCTAGATGCCACTGCCCTGAAGGCCTGCAAGATCTCACGTTTTGAGAAGGTTTGCGCCCTTGGACCCCTTACTCTTCCCTCCGCTCCTGTGGCCAAAAGGCCTAGAGCTGTGCAGGGGCTAGAGGAGAAGCCCTGGGCCTCCCCTTGCCTGGCTCACCAGGTCCTCACTCTCTGTCCCCACTCCAGCACTTATACAACGCGGCTGCCTTCAAAGCCCGAACCAAGGCACGCAGCCGTGTGCGGGACAAGCGGGCAGACATCCTCTGAGGCGGGGCCCACTGAAGAGGAGACGGTCCACACCTGTGCCTGTGTTTTTAACAGAAGACACTGCAACAACTGGTCCCTGCCAGGAATTGTCGCTTTATTTTTTTAATGACAAAACCAAAAACAGACATGGGGATGGGTAGCTGGAGGCCAGGGCACTCGGGATCCTGGCCCCTTGCCCCTGCACACGACGCTGTGGCCTTTCCCTGCTCTGTCTCAGGCCAGACCAAATGTGTGCTTGTCCCAGAGCCGTGGGGCAGACAGCAGGAGGGCTGTCCCTTTCTGTCCTTTCTCAGGCCCTGCTCCCATAGGATGACCCACTTTCTTGAAGGGAATGGCATCTGGACAGATGGCGCCAAAACAGGTGGGGAGGTGAGGCTACGTGGAATGGATCTATATGCTGATTTGTAAAGATTATTAGAGATGATTAAACTGATTGCTCAGCCTTCTGCAGCCCTTAGCTCTGGGTGTTTCTGCCTGCCCTCTCATCCACCACCCCTGTCTCCATCTCAGCTGTGCCCTCCCAGACCGTCTCCTCAGGTGGCCCTCTTTCCCATACTCAGCTCTGCCTGCTTGAGTGCTGAGGCCTGACCCCTGCTGGGAGGCATGGCAGGGTTTGAGCAATTGAGCAGGGGGGCAGCTATTTCTAGACTCTGAACCTGCTATCTGGGGGAAGCCAGAGGCTGCTGACAGGCCACAGAAGGAGCCAGGAGGCTGGTGTCGTTTCCTCTGACCTTGGGCCACCCAAAGCAGGGCCTCGGCCCCAGAAAACTTGTCTAGGCCTGGTCCGAAGACAGGAGAGGCAGGTAGCTGTGGGGTCAGGTTAGACTCATGTACAAAAACCTCACCAAGGAAGTAGTGTGGAGCAGTGGGTCAGGAGAAACCTGCCAGTGGCCACTTTATTCCTCCCCACACACACACACCCTCCCAAGCCCCAGGTCCAAGTGGTATCTCAGCTGGGTGCTTGGGCCTCAGTGGAGTTGAGCCTCCGCAGCTGGCTGAGGCTGGCGAGCCGGAGTTTAAGTAGCGTCTCCTCCTGAGTGCGAAGTGTGTGTGCCAGCATGCGGAGAGATTCACTCTGCAGCACTGGGTGGGTGGGCAGGAATGGAGGTGATGAGACCACGTGCCACCCTACACCTCCCTGCCCCCCCTTCACTGCCTCAGCCTCTGTAGCTGCTCCCTCCAGGTGTGCAGAAGGGCCCTCCGGTCCCAGTTCCTGGCCCTCTGTTCCCACTTGCCCCTTGCACCATCCGCCTTACCGCTCAGATAGACAGCCAGGATGGCGAGCGCCAGGCAGGTGAGCACCAGCAATGCCAGCAGCAACAGGAAGCCTCCCCGGCCTTGCACAGGACTACAGCCAGCCTGGGCACACAGCGATGGTGGCAAGATGCCCAGTAGCTCGTCCCACGGCTGCACCTGCTCGGCCAGATAGGGGTGCAGCGAACCTATGGGGTGTCAGGAGGGTAGGGGTGGTGCTTGCCTTCTGCCCCCTCCCAGCATATCAGTCCCACTGTCCTGACCCCCCTCACCTCCGCTGTGTAGGTCGCTGATGGATTCCACCTGGTGCAGGCGCACCTCCTCTATGTGGTTGGGGGCCGGTGGCGCCTTGCTCCTCGGACTCTGCGTCAGTGCCATGGTGTCTGCTGGGACAATGCAGAGCTGAGCAGCCAGCAGGTCACCCCCCTCCCTTGTAGGTGGCTTCCAGCAGCAGCAGGGGCTCAGAGAAGATGGCAAAGGACGAAAAGACACTGGCTCCTAAGGCCCTAAAACCAACTCGGGGATGATCCTTGATTTGGAGCCAGGATGACCTCAGGATCCCACAGACTTGTTAACACCCACAGTAGCAAGAGGTGCATTTGACTTGGTCACTTTGGTTTTTCCAAGCACCGCAAGGACTTTCAGGCTTTCCTCTGCCTGCTCGTTTGTTCCTAGAGAAGAGTTTATCAGTCGCGGAAGACCAAACCCACAGTGTGTGAAATTCATCCCTGCCTCTTCCTGTCAGTTTCCCCTGCAGACCCTGGACCCTGTGAGTTAGCCATCAGGCCAGACCCAGTGCCAGCACCTTCACACCCCCAGGGCAGAAGCAGTCTTATCCTCACTAGGTGGTGCTTGTCCCTTGTGGCCTTCGCTCTGCTTTAAGGACTCAGCTGTGATTTTCGATTTGGCTGTACTTCTGTGAACCCTGCTGTTTTCATTCAACATCATAATAGGACACCTGCCTTTGTTATCAAGCTGTTCCACATGCTTCTGAGGCCTCCCTTTGAGGCTGCCTGGGCATTTAGGTTGTTTATAGTTCCCTTCAAAAGTTAATAACCCCTAGGAGAGGACATGCATCACTGAGTATGAAGGTTTTCCCAATTTCCTAATCCTTAATAAGTACAGACTCCTAGAAGCAAAATTACTGGCTTAAAGAGTAGGGACTTTCTCTCTCTCTCTCTTTTTTTTTTTTCTTTTTTTTAAGATTTTATTTATTCATGAGAGAGAGGCAGAGACACAGGCAGACTCCATCCTGGGTCTCCAGGACCATGCCCTGGGCTGTAGGTGGTGCTAAACCGCTGAGCCACCCAGGCTGCCCTGGACTTTCTCTTAAGCCATCATCAGACTGTCCTTCAGAATGACTGTCCACAGCCCCCAAATGTGTACATCGCCACCATTAGGCCTTTTCATCATTAAAAAAAAAAAAAAAAAAAAAACAAACGTGTACGAGTTTGCCAAACTGGGGATGAGAAAGACCTTTCTTGACCTATTCGACTGGGTTTCTTTCCTTGGAGTGCCCTCTTCCATTCCCAGTTTCTGCCCATTTACTCTCAGGGGTCTCTACTTTCTTGTGGTTTTACTTATTTTTAGACCCATCAAAAGTATTTTATGAGGGCAGCCCCGGTGGCTCAGCAGTTTAGCGCTGCCTTCAGTCCAGGGCGTGGTCCTGGAGACCTGGGATCAAGTCCCCCGTCGGGCTCCCTGCATGGAGCCTGTTTCTCCCTCTGCCTGTGTCTCTGCCTCTCTGTGTGTGTGTGTGTGTGTCTCATGAATAAATAAATAGAATCTTTTAAGATATTTTGTGATATCTAAAAATTATATATTTTTAATATTTTATTCCTTTTTAAAAGATTTTATTTACTTATTCATGAGAGACACAGAGAGAGACAGGCAGAGGGAGAAGCAGGCTCCATGCCGGGAGCCCAATGTGGGATTCCATCCCGGGACCCCAGGAGCCAAAGGCAGACGCCCAACCGCTGAGCCACCCAGGCGTCCCTAAAAATTATATTTTAACTTTTTTTTTTTTTTCAATCTTGGCCTCTTGAATCTCCAGATACCCAGCTGGATGCTAGGTAATAAAGTAGGGAGCATTGAGGTAACGCCTCCTGAAAGGGGCAAGGGTGATTGGACTCTGAGTCTATCACTTTCAGAACAGTAACTTGGCCTTTGTGATTTGCTTGAAACTGGCCCTTGGGGATCCCTGGGTGGCGCAGCGGTTTGGCGCTTGCCTTTGGCCCAGGGCGCGATCCTGGAGACCCGGGATCGAATCCCACGTCAGGCTCCCGGTGCATGGAGCCTGCTTCTCCCTCTGCCTGTGTCTCTGCCTCTCTCTCTCTCTCACTGTGTGACTATCATAAATAAATAAAAAAAAAAAAAAAAAGAAAGAAACTGGCCCTTGACGTGCTCCAAAGCAAACCAAGGGATGCTGCCAATCATGTTTGGGTGGTGGGCTGGGGGTCATATTAAATTCTTCTCTGTACTTGGTTCTGCTTACCCTATACTCTCTAAATTGAACTCAGATTCTGTTCATTCCCAGGAAAAACATGGTAAATGTTTTTTTTGTTTGTTTGTTTTTGTTTTTGTTTGTAAATGTTGTTAGAACCCCAAAAGGAAGCAAACGTTCCCCATCACTCCTAGGTGCTGGGCCCCTCCCATTCAGTTGAAATGTTGAAAATGTAATAAAGGAGTTGACCAGCTGGACTGACCTGGAGCAGTGGAGAATCTGGCTGTCCCTGTTCTGGCCCTTCCGAACCTCTGTACTCCTTGCATGCAGTGGAGCAGTTAGGCTAGTGGCACCAAAGTCTTAATTAGCTGTCAGTCTGGCGAGGCTGAGGGATGCCAAGTAGCTAATGGTTGGGTCCATTTAGACCCAAGTTGGAGGAGGCCAGAGATCTATCCATTCGCAGTCTCTGGGCCACATGCCCAAATGTTTCCTGGAACCATTGCCCGCCCTGGATCCCAGCTTCCTCCCTGAATGAAGAGCTGAACTAGGTAGGCGTCTGCCCTGCGCACGCCCACTTGAGCATAGCCTGTAGTTAACTACCCCCAAACTGGGAAGCCCCCCACCCCACCCCGCCAGCCAAACCTTCCCTGTCCTTAGCAGAGGAGACAACCAGGGCCTGAGGCTAGGTGGGGATCTAGACGTAAGCTGTTTCTCCATGCACACGGGGCAGGTCCCTTTACTCAAGCTGGGACATGGTGACTGAGGACTAGTCAAGGAAGTAAGGTCAGTGGGATGGGGCAGGGTTGCTCCGTGGTTCTCCGTGGTTCCCAGGGTCATAGGCCTGCAGCTTTGCCCTCCCCCATAATCCTTTCCTACCTTCTGTCTCCTCAGGCATGGTGGGCGGTGGGCAGTTGAGGGGCTGATAATAGCACCCAGGAGCAGGACAGGGATGGAGGAGGCAGCAGTGGCTCCTCAGAGCCTGGGGAAGGCTAGCCACCTCCCAGCCTGGGCCTAAAATAGGCCTGAGCTCAGCCCACTGGGCTATATTTAGAGGGGGCAGCTCTCAACCATGGGAGGGGTGGAGTGACCCATATGGGCCAGCCTAGCTAGCTGGTGATGGAGCCCAAACAAGAGCACATCTCCACTAATGCACGTGTCCAGGGTCTTTCCTGGGGAATTCTGCCTCCCCTACATATGCACAGGCCTTGGTGTCTTTATCCAGACAAGCTACCTCATGTTTATCTCCAGCGATGCCCTGCATGGCAGCCAAGATCTGTAAGGAAGCCCTGCGCCTCTCCACCCCTAAAGACCCCTACTCAAAGCTGGGTCATCAAGCGCTGTGTGATTTGCTGACCCCAGGGATTGGGGTGATGAATAACTGGAGCCCAGGGCCATGAGGGCTCTGAGACCCCCAAAGAGGGCAGACAGACATATACATGTAGGTACTCATGTTGGTCAGTAGGCAAAGTTAGATTGAAGATTAGTATTTCTATTAATAAGCTTACAACCTTATGTCTCTGACCTCCATTTTCTCATCCGTAAAACAGGAATGACAATGGTTCCTCCCTGGCACAGGATACATGAAGATGGAAATATAGCCACATGTCAGAAGCACTTAATATAATGCAGGTTAGATCCTTCCTCTCCTAACAAGGGTATACAAGTCACACAGTGTCATTCAAGGAGACATGGTACTTTACCCTTGAAAGGAGTAAGTGGCCGAGCTTAGGGCCCACCCTCTGCTACTGCACCCCCAAGGCCCTCCTTCCCAATTGGGACAAAGCAAGACAATGATGGGCTCTACCTCCTAATACATCCCAAACCCATCACTTCATTATATCATTGGCCTCCTTGATGTTCCTCACACATAGCAACCTTGTTTCCATCCCAGGGCCTTTGCACTGGCTATTCCTTCCTAGAATACTCCCCACACACACACTCCCCGCCCCCCCCTTACTCCCAGGGCTGGCTCCTTGTCATTTAGCTCAAATGTCAACCCCTCAGCAATGCTTTGTCACATTATTTTACATATCACCAAATTTCATTTTCTTCATAGCACTCTGCCAAGAAATCATATTATTCAGAATATACTGTGTATGTCAGTAGGACCCCAAAAGGCCCCACAGAATCCACTCAGTCACATGGAAACCATTTTTAATCCTCACCACAGGATCCTTAGCAGAAAGGAGCTCTTGAGACCAGTAGGAAGTTGCCCAAGGCCACACAGTGGTTGTCCGCTGGGGCCATTCCAGCTTCAGCTGATAATGTGTTTATTGCATTAGTACAGTTGGCCTGCCCCCCCCCCCACCCGCTCAGCCTGTTCACAGCTTTCTGCTCATTGCCCAGGGAGGAGGTCCTTCCCCCAGGGTGGGCACTCCAGGCGCCTCCTCCACCCAGGTCGTTGCTCGGAAGCCCTGTTTCTCTGTCTCCTCACACCAACAGGACCCTGTGCCAGGCCTGGGCCGCCCCTCCCAGGGCTACATTCAAGGGTTATCCTCTGTTAATAAATAAGCCGGCGAGGCAGCCCCTCGGCTAGGGCCTGTCGGTCGGGGTCTCCATCATCCATCGTCCAGGGGCCAGTGCGCCGGGCCCCCCAGCGGTGCGTCCCCCAGGGTCTGGCCTCCCCCTCCAGCCTGTGGCCTCCTTCCCTGTACCCGGCGTGGACGACCGAGTCACCAGTGAGCGGCGCTGCGCGGCCCCCGCTCGGCGCGCGGCTCCGGGGCGTTCCTTCGGCGGTTTCGGCCCTTCCTCCTCGACTCGGGAGCGGGTGGGCGCGACTCCGGCTGCTGACGGCACATTCGCAGGGACCCAGCGCCGCCGCCGCCCGGCTCCACCAGCTGCAGGAAGTCCCGGTACCAGAGCTTGGGGCCCGGAGGGGCGACGGGCGCAGCCTCCTCTGTCCGGGCCAGCCTTTCGGCCTGCGCAGCACTCAGCACGTGTAGCGCCAAGCGACGCAGAGGCTGCGAAAAGCCCTGCTCAACAGCTGCGCACAGGTACGCGCCTGAGTCCCCGCGCCGCAGCCCGCGCAGCAGCAGTCCCCGGGGCAGGCGCTCCGCGCGCTCCTCCGCAGCCACCTGCAGGCCGGGCCAGCGGGAGGCGTGGGCGTCAGGGTCGGGAACTGGGAAACCCGGCTCCAGGCCGGGCCAGGAGAGGCGGAGGGGCAAGGAAAGGGGCGGCCGCAGGTGCGCATCTGAAGGCTGGGTGCCCTGGGACCGGTGTTCTAAAAGTGGATCCAAAAGTGGATCCCCGTACGGGGAGGGCTCACCTGGACATGGGGGCGGGGCGGGGCTCCTCTCGGACGGGGGAGGGGGTGTCAGGAGTCTAGTTAGGCGCCCAGAGGCCTCCCCAGGATGTGGCGTGCAGGTCAGGGACCAAATGACAGAAGCGGGCTGGTTGGGCGGAGTCTCACTGGGCGGGGCCGACCTGGTCTAGCGCGGGGAGCGCCCGGGGGCCTCCCTGGCTGGGGCGGGGCCTCTCCTGGATGTCGGGGGCGGGCCAAGGGCCCGCTCGGAGCCGAGGGGCAGCGGGCTCACCGTGGTGCGGGCCGCCTCCCCCGCGCGCTGGAAGGTCCATTCCACGCGTGCCTGCAGCGAGCGGGGCTCACACTCCAGGAAGGCGCTGCCGCCCTCCACACCGAACACCTTCCGCTCCAGCAGTGTGGGATGGGACGAGTCTGCGGAGGGCAAGGGATTGTCAGGTTCGGGCAGGGTGGGGCGTCCTCAAGGGCGGAGAAGTGGGGCAGCCGGGGCACTCACCACCTGAGCACAGCGTGCTGGGGTCACCATTCTTCACGTCTTGCCGCCGGAACCGCCTGCGGGGAGGAGGCCACATGGAACCTCCGTGAGCCCTTCTTCACTTAGCCAGGCGCAGCCAGGGGCGCAGTACTCTGGGTGGCCCGCCCCCAACCCTGCCCACCTTTTAGCGCTGGGCTGGAAGCGCGTGCACGCGGCCCCGTCCCAGGCGCAGTAAGGGTCACGCGCCAGGCAGCATTCGGCGCAGGCGCGGCCGTGGGCAGCACAGCGGTGCAAGGGGATCTGGGCCACCGCGCTCCGCGAGGCTACGTACAGCTGGTGCTAGGGGGCACGAGGGGCTCCGGGCTGACCGAAGGCAGCCCTGTGCCCGCCTCCCATTGGTCAGAGATCCCTCACCCCACTTGACAGATTGGAACACTGAGGTCTCAGGTCACACAGTCTAGTGAAGGCGGAACCTATCCTCAAACCCGGGGCTTCGAGCTACCAAGGGAGACGTGGGGGTTGGGGGGCACCCGGGGAACGCACTGGGCCCTTTCACCCCCAAGCCTTCTGGTCACTTACTCTCTTAGAAGAGATTTGCATGCTGGTGATAGCAGCCGAATCCTGAGAAGGAGGAGGAGGAGTGCTGGGATCAGGCATCAGTGGGGTGCAGTTACTCCAGGCAGCTGGGGGGCGGGGCGGAGGGGGCTAGGCCTCACCTCAAACACGTGCAGCTCCTCCAAGAGCAGCCCCTCCGCGTTAGGCCGGCTGCCCTTGGGCACTGAGATCACCTTCAGCACTGTGCCAACATCTGCAAGGTTGAGAAGGAGTGTTCCCTGATAGCTCCTGCTGGGAGTCCCCTCACTCCTGAGGCCTTTACCCTCAGTATGTGGTTGGGTGGGTGAAGAATGTGGGTTGGAACAATAAGGGCAGCATCCAGAAGGGGATGGGGGCATAACCCAGGCAAAGATGTGGAGACGAGACTGGACAGGGGCAGCGTCCACTGACAGGCCAGAGTCCAGACTGGGTTTTATGAGTGGTCATGGGGGGACACTGACCTGTGCCAATGAAGAGGACGTCGTAGTGCCCATCAGCAGCTGCTACACGGTCTGCAGTGATCTGGGTGAAGGTGTACCCAGCACCCACTTGTAGGAAGAGAGGGCGCCCACCCATGGGCAGGACAGAATTGTACATGAGCGGGTGGTTCCGGGCAAACTGAATGACGTCATCAGGAAAGTCCTTGGTAGAACTGAAGGTGCCAAAGGTCTTGCTGGGGCACTGGGAGATGGGGGAGGCGTGATAGGGATGTGGGTATGAGGGCCTGGGAAGCCAACAAGAGACCTGCAGGAACTGAGAGTGTGTGGGGGTGCTAACGGACAAAGCCTTGCCCTGGGAATCTGAAGAGAGCAGACCCAGCCTTGCCCTTGGGAGTCTTAGGGTGAAATGTGGCCTTTCTCTTGGAAGCCCTATCTGATGAAGGTGATGTTTATCTGCCCAGAACAAAAGGAAGAAACCACATTCACCAAGAAAACCCCAGGCCAAGTTCTCCACTCCTGAGACTTTAAGTGGGTTGTGGTGTGAATCCTGGGGCTACGCACCATGCCTGGCCGGGGGTAGGGGACTCGGCCCTGATAGGACACCCACTGGTGCATGGGCCCTTCCTTGTGTGCAAAGGGCCCCAGGAATGCACGGCGCACATCGTTCATGCTGTACACACACACTGCAGAGCCTTGGAAGATGGTGCTGGAAGGGAAGACGCAAGCACAGTGAGGGGCCCAGGAGAGCCTGGACCAGCCCCGCCCCTACCTCCCGCCCCTCACCTGGATGTGGTGAAGACAGTGTAGAGCAGCGGGCTCCAGCGGTCCCTCAAGGACAGCAGGAACACATCCTCTGTGGGGAAGGGGCCTCGTTGGGGGAGGGCACACAGCCCTCTGGGAAGCCTGGCTCCTGAGTCTGGGCCCTGGCACACCCTCTCCCCAACTCCATCCTCCACTCCTGGCACTCACGGAGCTGGTCGAAGTGCGTGTCACCCTCGGCACCTGGCACTGAGCACACCAGACGTGCCTTCAGGAACGTGGTCCACTTGTTGACCAGGCTGCGCTGGCCGCCCACGTCATTCTGCGGGGTCAATCAGAGGGTGTGAGGGGGAGGCCCAGACAGGCAAGAGGACAGGGGCATGGTCACCAAATGTGGCCCAGGGACTCCTCACCCGGCAGATCTGGCCAACACGGGACACAGACAGGCGTCCCATTGCCGGTGCAGCCTCCACTGCCGACTCCCGGAAGAAGAAGTAGATCTTGTCATCGTCGGGATTCTCGCTCTCTGGGATCCAAAAGACCTTGACAAACTTGGGCTCTAGCAGCAGGAGGTGTGGGGTCAGCAGGGTCCCGGCCCTGCCATTCATGAGACCCATACACACTCCCTCTCCTTCCTGTGGTGCCCCCCAGAAGCCTGTGGGGCAGTACCTGACCAGCCAGTCCCCAGGACCAAGTTCACTGGGGTGGTGCTGGCATCCCACAGAATCTGGAGGATCAGGGCCTGTGAGTCAAGCAGCAGCCACAAGAGGGCAGCAGAGACCGAGACAGCCTCCCACCTCACCAGGACAGGTCCCCAGGCCGGTGGGCAGAGAAAGGAGGGGAGACTGCGGATCAGTTTTACTTTCTCCCGTGAATCTTCCTCTTGGGCAGGAAGCACATGCCTCCATTCCTGCTGTGAACACTCTGCTCGGTCTCCTCACTCTTATAGCAAAGGACTCCGGCCGCTGACAGTGCAGACCCCTTGCCCTTTCTCCTCTCGCGAGTCTGTTCCTTGCTTGTTCCTGCCGCGGATTCTTTGTGCTAGCTGTCCTCTTTGCCCAGAATGCTATTCCCCCAATCCTGCCATGCTTTGGGAATTAGCTCACCCCTCTCTCTGCGGAGTGGCTTCCTTTCTCGATCTCCCACCACCACTATCTGGTCTCCTTTTCCCTTTCTGTCTGTGCAATCACTGGTCTCATGGCCATTGGAAGCAACCTGACCATGTATCTGTTCTGAGGTCTGCGAACTGAGACAGGGCATGGGTCGCACATCTTGTCTGCCCTGCAACCCCAGTGCCCAGCACAGGACTGGATGCATGGTAAGTGCCTGGTGGGACCCGGCTGCACCCGCTGTTCACTTCCTTTAGGAGCCTGACTCGGCACCTATCCTGTCCTGTCGGCACCTATCCTGTCCTGTCGGGGTTGAGGGCCCCCTCCCAAAAGCCCCTCCCACCCTTCACCGTTGAGCCAGCGGGAGTCGTGTGGTTCTGTTCGGAGGCTTGGACGCTGGCCCAGACTGCGGAAGATGGTGAAGTCCCGGCCCATGAGGTCTGCAGCCACCCCTGAGTATAGTTCTTCTCCTGCATATAGGGTGAGGGCTGTTTAGCCAATCTGAGGACTCTTAGTGAGAAGTGTGTGTGGGGTGCCTGTAGAGTTGGTGAGGCCCTGAGGGGATCCCTGGGGCTCTCAGGAGGGTCTAGAGTTTCTGATGGGCCCCCAGCCTTTGGACTCACCCACCAGCACGGAGGCAGCCCGATGCCTTGGGTCATAAGGACTCTTGCCCTTGCCGTCCTCTAGCCTTCGAAGATCCAGCCGCAGCACAGGCTCCTGGGAGGCGGGGTGCCATTGTTACTTCCTGGCCCTTCTTCACCTCCCAGCCTCCCTCTGTGCCTAGCTCTGGCCTTACCTCCAGCCGGTGGCCCACCTCCACAAAGGCACAGGTTGGGTGGAAGGCCCCTGTGCCACAAGCCAGCAAGTGGGTGCGGTTGTAGGTATGCAGCAACTTCACGAAGTTCATGCACTCCGTCTAGCAGGCGAGCCGGGGAAGGGACAATGAGGCCTCCCCCAGGGAGGCAGCCTTCAGGGGTCCCAGCTCACCAGGGGCACCTCACCCCTTCCTCTCTTCTGCATCAGTCCAGACAGGCACCCACATGGGCTGCAGGGACCGAGGTGCACCTTGCTGACCAGCACAGCCCACCCTTCACCAGAAGGGTATGAAGAAAAACATAGGCCTGTACTGCCCCTGTGACTCAGAGGCCCCCCAGGAGGAATCACATGAGTCTCCACCCTGACTCACTACCTCCAAACTTCAGCCATCTCGACCCACTGCCCCCATCCCAGCCAGAACAACAGGCAGGCCTCTGTCTTAGCACTGCTGTCTGCAAAGTGAGGGGCTGGCCTCCCCACTCCCACTCCAGGAAGCCGGCACTCACACCAATGTCCTTCCCGGCCCAGTTGCACTCCTCTCGCCATTCCACAGGAGCCGGCCAGGCCAGCTGTGAGGACGTCAGGGGAATGGGACACAGGTCAGAGCCTTTTCAGGGTCTCTGCACAGAGGGTATCTGCTGGGGGGGGGGCATCCCCCTGGGAAGCCCCGAGGCTGCAGGGTGGTGGTGGGGTCCCTGGCACCTTCTTGGCCTGCTTGCTGATGTTGTCCAAGCTGAGGGAGGCCACGTGGTTCTCCGCACCCACAAATAGGCGTCCTCTTTCCTCATCCACCAGCAGAGCTTCATAACAGCAGGTCCTCTCCAGCCTGAAGATCCGGAGACTGTGCCGTGCCTGGAGCTCTGCAGGATGGGGACCCTGCTGAGGGTTGGCCAGCCATGCTGGAAGCTTCCCCCCAGACCCTGCCTGTTGCCTCTCTCACAAGTCATGCTTGTACATGTGACCTGGCCCACACACATGTGAGGTTACAAGTGTGTGAGTTCACACTGGTGAAGAAAGGCCCACCCCTGCGTGAAGCTTCCAGGGTGGGCAGTGCAGCACCCCTCCAAAGGGGAGAGAGGGTTGAACTCCTGGGGCGTGCTTGGGCAAGCAGTGTCTGCAGGCAGGCACACTGGGAGGCCAGGCGCTGGGGGAGGCTGAGCCAGTTGGCAAAGCCAGAACCCCAACCCTGCCACCAGCCTGAGCTCAGCATGATGCCACTGCTTAGTGACCAGTGACCGCCCTCCTGTGTAAGGGGTTTAGAAGGGGGCTCTAGTGGCCCCCACACGTCAGCTTCCCTGGGGGTGGGTAGTAGATGGGACACAGGTGGGATCTGTTGCCAAGGGAATGGAAGGGGTCTTCCCCAGAAAGCAAGAGGAGAGTGCGCACAGAAAGTGTGGGGGCTGAGGCCAGGACAGGGTTAACCGGAGATGGCCTGAGCGTGCCCCCAAATGAACCTGAGCCAGTGGCACTTGGCAACAGCAAATGCAGTGCCCCCTACCCACCCTGGGCCCCTCTCCTGCCCGCCCAGAGCTGAGCCCTCCCGCCTGCCAGGTGCACCTACCTTGGAAGGAGAGCCGAAGGCGTGGGGGGCTGGGGGTAGCATCCCCCAGCACTGCTGCCCAGAGCAGGGCCAGGCCCGGGATCATGGCGGCAGCCCCGGCCCGCCCCATCCTGCGGCTCAGGGTGCTCAGGGTTCAGCGGGCGGGCGCGTGTGGAGGAGCCTTGAGCCGCCCTGGACTCTGCCCCAGGATCTGGAAGACAAGGAGCTGCAGCAAGGACGAGGGCGGGAGGCTGGGGGGGGGGGAGTCCCCAAGGATCAGATTACAGCCCCTAGGGGAAAGGGGCTGGGGGGTCGCATTCCACTTCCGAGCTCTCCCCTCCCTCTGAGTGTGCCCGGCCTGGCCACAATCACAGACACACCCACGCTGGGCACACCCTGGGGTCACCCCCACATTGGCAGGCGCCCGCCCCACCACGTCACCCTCCCGGGTAACCCCCCCTCCCGTAGGCACTCACAGGCATTAATTCAGGAACTCTGTGCGCTTACTTCATGCCAGCCTGGGACACTGGGGGACACAGACGTGGTCCCCATGCAGAAGAGGGCAGAATGCCAACAAGGACTCAGATCAGTACAGTCATTTCAGAGGGCGCCAAGTGCAATGAGCAAAACAAACCAGTCATGGGAGTAAGGGCGACAGGAGAGGGTCAGGCTGGAAGTGGCTGTGCACCCACAGGCCCACAGAGAAACAGAGGCACCTTCGGGGCTGGAGCCAATGGCGTGGGCACCTGTCAGTGTGTTTCTGAGGGTCCCTTTGTGTATCTGTATCTGTGTTGTGTGTGTGTGTGTGTGTGTGTGTGTGGTGTATGCAGACAGATGTGTGCAGATCTGTGACAGTGTGTGGCATGAGTCTTGTGTTACATGTGTAGATACATGGTGTGTGTACTTTGCATACATGTGTACACGTGTGTCATACACGTGTGTGTGGGAACGTGTGCACGCACAAGTGTATGCGTGTCTCTCTGGACACGCAGGTGAGCAAGTACAACCGCAACAATCACTGCTTTCAACTCTGAGATGCGCCTGAAGGCCACCGCTTGGAAGGAGTCTATGCAGGAGCCCCAGGGCCAGAGCCACTGGGCGGGCGGGACAGGGCTGGAGGGGGTGCCTCGGGATGGCCGCCCCAGCTTTGTGTTGACCTCTCGCTCCCCACCCCCCGGGCCTGGAAGGGCTGGTTACGCAGAAATTCTGTGAGCTCAGACCTCAGACCCAAGAGGAACCAAGTCGGGGAGAGCCAGGGGTGTCGGGCAATCTCTGGCCCGCACTTCAGGTGAGCTGCCCGTCCCTCTCTGAGCCTCTACCGCCTCCAGGCCTCTCCCTCCCCTGCCTTCGCCCTCAGGTTTCCACATCTTTGAGCCCCCACCTCTGAGCCAGAGCCCTTCCGTGGGGCCAGCCTCCGGCTGCAGTCCCCACCGTCCTTCCCAGAGCTGGCTGGGCAGGTGCTGGGCGTAGGGCAAGGTCCCGGGGTGCCGTCAGGCAAGGGGCGCAACTGCCAGGGCACGGTCCAGATCGCCCCCCCAGGCCCCCGCCCAGTTCCACAGCTCCCCACCCCTGCCATGCTGGGACTCCCACCTCCCGCCGGCCCCCCACTGACACTTGCCACTGCCTCTTCTGAGCACGTGAGGTCTGCGACGCCACAGAGCACCCTGCTGCCTTCCTGCAGGCCGCCAGAGGTCCGGCGGCAGGGCCCCGCCACCCCAGCCCCTCGGCCCGAAGGGGAGAAGCCTAGGGACCGCCGGGCACCCTCTGACGGCTCCTTTAAGGCGCAGCCCCCGCCCCCGCCTCCACCGAGCCGCGCCCCACGCGCGCCGTCAAGTTTACGGGGCGGATCGGGTGACCAGGCGGGCGCCCCGGCCAGCGGAGCCGGTGGCCAGGCGAGGGCAGCGGGCGCAGGGGAGGGGCGACCCCTCCCCCGTCAGGCCTCAGGGCACTAGGCGCCGTCGGCCGCGGGGCGGTAGAGGGGGCCCCCAGCCCCGCCCAGTGAGGCGGCCGAGGAGCGGCGGGTCTACACCGCTGGGGAGCTGGGGAGCTGGGGAGCTGGAGGCCGGCAGCGAGGGAGCCGGGGCTCCGGGAAGAGGTCCTAACTGGCGGTGTGGCCAGCCCCCAGCCCCCAGCCCTTCCTCACCACTTGGGCCACTTAGGGCTTCTGCCACCTGGCTGGCGGTGGCTGTGGTGGGAGCAGCCGGGGCGGCAGAGGAGGGCCGGGGAGGGCCAGGCAGGGCAGTCAGCAGATGCCAGAGGCCCCTGGGTTGCACGCCCATCCAGAGACCCCTCCTGATGGGTGGTCCTGCGTCTCTGCTGGGAGGGAAGGGGGCATTCCGTGTGACCTCTGTGACTCAGGATGGGGCCTCGGGGCCTCAGCTGGGAAGGGTCTGGGATCTTGGCCAGAAGCTGAGTCAGGTGCACGACCCTAGCCAGGGGTCTACCTGGGTGAACGTGACAGGGCTTGGGGATGGACTTTCACCTCCCAACCCCCTCTCCAAAAGGCATCCCCCTGCAACCTCCCCAAGGCTGGTCAGCAGCTCAGCAGTGGTCAGTGAGGGAGGGCGTGGGCTTCAAGCTCCGTGGCCCATCTGCTGCCAGCTCCCCTGGAGCAGCAGTGTCTGTGCCCAGCCAGCGTGGGGCAGTGCCCCTCTTGCCTGAGTCTCAGGCCTTAGTATTTCTGGATTGGCCTGGCTGGCTGGCTGGCTGGCTGGCAGAGGAAGGGTCTGGGTCAGTGGGAGGACCAGGGGCTTTCAGGAGGGAGGGTGGAAGGATGCACCCCATTCTGAGCTCTTGGACTTCCGGGATGCAGCCTCTCTCTCCTCCCAACTTCTGGTTTGGACCTGGGCAGCCTCTCCTGGCCCCATGCAAGCAAACAAAATTCTTCGGCTGTTTACAATTTTCCACCCCAGCAGCCAAGATCAGCAAGTGCCTTTGAGGTCCCGCCCACCCCCACTGGGCCCCCTACCTGCCCCCACTGCTTTTTCTTCTTCAGGCTCAGGGTCCCCAGTCTATTTCATCTCCTCCCAGCCCTGCGTCCATACTGATCAGTGGGACCAAGACCCCCCACCACCTTTCCTCCCAACATCTTGGGGCTATCTCTTGCCCACCTGGGCCCTTTGTGTTGCTTTCCTTGCCCCTGATGTGTCCTCTTCCCTGGGACCAGAAGGGAGATCTTCTGGGGCGGGAGCCCTAGTTGTCCCTGTCCTCATGAGGTCTTTCTGCCCCTCAGCCACAGCTCCAAGTGTATGTCAGCCCCTGGGTGGGGACCTCATGGAGGCAGCGCTCCAGGAACAGTGTCATTGGCTGTGGCTTACACAGGACTCTGGGAGTCTCTGATGATTCTCGAATCAGGCAGCCCTGGCCTGCTTCTTGACAATGGAGCAAACTAGGGAAGACAGCTGGGGTTCCTACTCCTACCTGCACCCCTGCCCAAGGCCACCACAGGTCCCTAGCCTCTAGCCTTTGCCCGGGAATCCACCACCTGATGCTGCCGGTCACTGTGCCACAGCCTACCAAGGCCTTGGATTTTCATTCTGGAAACAACTCAATTGTCGTGCCAAATCCTACCACTGCCTCCTGACCCCTCATTACCAGCAGGGCCTGCTCCTTGCTTGGACTCTGGGTGGTGTGGCTGGAGTAGGACATCCATCTGAGGAAGGCTAGAGTCAACTCTCCCAGTGCCAAGACTGGGCTGGGTCAGGTCTTGGCTCCCCATTCACACCTGCTTTAGCCATCAAGGCTGGTGGCTCCAACGTCACAAGCTTTCCTAGTTCTGGCCACGTGGGTACTCGGACTGACTACCATGAGGACTTAGGCATGGGGGCAGGGAGGCTGGGGGCTAGGAATGGGCACAGGGATGCCTAACTGAGGCCGACTTCCCTGACAAGCTACTACCCACCCTGGGGAGATCTCCTGGTGAAAAGTGTTGGGGCCCTTCCCCTACCTGCCCCCAGCCTGGTATCCACACTCACGGGGATCCTGGGCCCACCTTTTGGGAAAGTCAGCTCTTCCCCTCCTTGCCTGTTCCCCTTCCCTTCTGAGGGCCATGTCAGTGCTGAGGTGGAGGGGCCGAGGGAGGGACCGCCAGGAACCCTGGGCCTCTGGCTGTGGCCCTGCCCCCACCCGCCCCGCCCCAGCCCTCCGCCTCCTGCACATTCCTCCTGGGCTGAGGTCAGCCCCTCTGGGATGGGGGAGCCCCCCCCACCAGCCACATCACAGCTCTCCTCTTGCTCCTGTTTTCTTCATTGCCCAGCAGGGGAGGGCAGGGCGGTGGGGGCGGGTGGAGCCTCCCTTTCCCCTCCTCCACAGCCTAGGGGAGTGTGGGAGGGGGTGCCAGGAATGCAGCCAAAGTAGACTGGGGTGGCACTCCATGCTTATTAACATATATTAACATAAATGCTACCTTCCCTTAATGGGCTTGGGGATAGCTGCGCAGGAGTGCAGGTTAGGGGGTGCTCTGGATGCTGGGGTGAGGGAGAACCTGCCCCAGGGATCAACCCCCCCTTAGTACGCTGGGAGGGGCAGGGTGGAATGGTGACTGCTGTGTGTCCCTAGGGAGACACTGAACCTCTCAGATCTCTCCCCTCACCAGCCCTGCGGTTGCAGCTAGCAGGCCTGGGAGGTCTGGCCTCTGTGGGGGAACATAGGTGTCCACTCTTGGTGCCACCTCCACACCGGGCGTCTTAGGCATCCAGGCCTTGGGGTAGACCCTTCACTGCTGCCTCTTCCAGCCCAGCTTCACTAGGGCCCCTGCTCCGTCTTGGCTCCTCTCCTCTTCCCCCACCCCTGCCACAGCCCCCAGCATGATGGCTTCCCCCCCACACTTGAACCTCCATCAAGTCCTCCCCAACCCCTGAGGACTCCCCAGTCTTCTTCCTCCAAGTCTCCAACCCAGCTGTGGCAGGGCCCAAGCCCGCATCCCTTCTCCCAGAGGCCCTATCTCAGGGAGACCTTTCTGCCTGGTTAAACTGACAAGGCCCCACCTCCTCCCCCAGTGGGCCTGCAGCCTGACCTCTTCACCTACCCCCAGACTGTGCCCCTGTGGCCTTTCTGCCACTCCTCCTCCCAATGCCTCCCCTCTGCAGTACCCCGCCCCCACCTCAGGGACCTGGGGGTGGGGGGGTTCCCAGGCTCAGCCTTAGCCAACCCTGCCAGTGCTCTGGCCACCAGATTTCTGGGAGGTGGCTCTTTCCCTGCCAGGACTTTGCCTGGACTGTGCTCTCTGCCCTGTAGGCCCTCCCCTTTACCACCTGCTAGACTCCCTTTTTCATCCTTCAGTATCCAACTGTCTGGGTGTCACCTCCTCTGTGAAGCCCTAGATACCTAGAGCACCTGGGGTTCAAGTCTCTCTTCAGCCTCCAGGTCTCTTGGTGGCTACCATGACTAGGGGCCCCAGGACCCAGCAGAGGACAGCACAGGGTGGTAGGCGACAGAATGCCTGCAGGAAGCCCTTCCACCCTCCTGGGCCTGCTGAGCCTAGGGGGGATGGGAGACTGAGGGACAGGGAACACCCCAAGTCCCTCCTTGACCCTGCACCAGCTCCTCAGGCCTTGACTTCCTCCACCCACAGTGAGGCTGGAAAGCAGAGTCAATGGGAAGGGATAGCAAACTGATTTTTCTCCTAAATAAAAACCTTGGGGCTTATTTCCTGCGAGGGGAAAGACCAAGACAGGGAAGAGAAGGTGATCCACAGTGTTGACCCCTGCCCGCCTGGACGTGGGTGCCCATCGATGTTATTAACTGCAGAGCTGAGTGGCTGGCAAGTATGGACACACTCACTGCACGCATAACCCAGCTGGCTTGGCGCCCTCCTTGGATGTGTGTGTGATGGGGGCTGGCTTTCCCTCTCTGGTGTCCAGGAGGCTTTAGGGGAATGCATAGCCCCAGGGCAGGGAATGTGGGCCCCTAGGATCTCTCTTTAAAAAAAAAAAAAAAAAAAGACTTTATTTATTCATGAGAGACACACACAGAGAGAGGCAGAGACACAGGCTGAGGGAGAAGCAGGCTCCCTGCGGGTAGCCCGATGCGGGACTCAATCCCAGGACCCCGGGATCACGCCCTGAGCCAAAGGCAGAGGCTCAACCGCTGAGCCACCCAGACATCCCTCTTTTCAAGGCAACAGTCACAAAGATTGGGCTCAGTTGTCTGGGAATGAGCCTGAACCCAGAAGTCAATCAAGGGAAGCTAGGATCCTGTCCCTGCCCTGTCCTGACTCCCAGGGCAGCTAGGACCTGGCTGGCCATGCCACAGGTCAGGTGGCTGGAGTCAGTGCTTATCTTCTCCAGCTGGCCTGGAATTCTGGGTCTGGGAGGGGGTCTTTGGAGGTAATGATTTGAGGGACTCTGGGTGGGTGGGGAGTAGGTTTTCCTGACCTCAGAAGGAACCATGGGGCTGCCGGGGACATGGTGGGTGTCATTCCAGGACTTGGCAGCCCCTGTGGCCTCAGAAGTCCCAGAACTCATGGGGCACCTCCCCATCCTGCCCCTCACATCTTGGCCCCCACCCACCTGTTGTGGGGGGCCTGGGCTGAAAATGGGGAGTAGCTGCCCATCTGGCTCCTCTCCTGAGAGGGAGAGGAGGGTCTCCCTAGATCCTGCCCTCCTAAGCCCATGGGCTCTCAGAGCTTGTCTTTCTCTTCCCAGCTGTTTCCCCACCCTGCAGATGGGTCAAAAATACCGAGGCTGCCACCACATCAGAAGCCTGTGCAACTATTTGGAGTGGGGTGGGCCCTCTGAGAGGTGGATCAGCCTCATGGAGGTCTCCACTGGCTGACTGGCAACAG